ATTTATCCCCAGTTGTTTCAGTTTAAACCACAAGCAATCCCTATTTAAACTGTCAAACGCCTTTTGCAGGTCAATAAAGCAGGCAAAAGTTTGCTTGTTAGATTTTATTCTGTTATCTAAGATGCTATGTAAGGTGTGGACATGATCCTCGCAGCTCCTGTCCTTTCTGAAGCCGTTTTGTTCATCCGCCAAGTAGGGCGTACTCTCAAACCACGTAGTTAAGCGTTTATTTAATATATCGCCGTAAATCTTGCACGGTACTGAAATTAGTGTTATACCTCGGTAAGTTAGAGGTTTATGTGGGTCCGTCCCATTTGGTTCTACTATTGGATTCAGCAATCCGGTTTTCCAAATATCTGGGACTACGCCTTTTTCGAAGCATGCACTGATTATCTTATGCAAAATCTCGACGCAAACTTCATTCTCTAATGCTTCTGCCGGGATTGCATCAATGCCGGCAGCCTTACGCATTTAAGTATTCTTTACTGCCTCCGCAACTTCATCTCGTCGTATTGGTTGGTTCAGGATATTTGCATCGTACATGGGATGGAAGTCATCGTTTTTAAGCATGCTGAGAATTGTACTGTAATGATTTTCATCAAAATCCGTGGTATTATTATTTACATTGTATAAACACTCATACTGGGATCTCCATTCGTTCATTATCCATTCCTGTTAGGAGAGAGCCGTCGCGGTCTATCACCTCAGTTGGGATTTTACATTTTCTGTTATTTGCAATGCCGATTTTCCCTATGTCTCTCCAAAATCCCTGGGAGTTAGAAATTAATGTATCATGCATCTCCATCTGCTTATTCCGTTGGTAATTACGCTTGTATTTTCTATGGAGCCTGTCGAAACTCTTGCGCTCGATACAACATACAGATTTCAAAGTATTTTTACGTTGAGGCGTCGGACATTTTAACCAAGCTCGTTCCGCATCGCAGGTTTTATTCCACTGATTTTGTAATTCATCATTCCAATAGGGTTTTGATTTCGATTTGTGACGTTTTGCATTTCTATGGCTTTGTCGTAACAAACCACTTTTCTTCAATTCATCGTGTAAATAGTGTTCAAATTCTGCGTACGCCGCATTGACATCGTTTCGATTTTCTAGTTGATACTCGATGCGATTCATACATTCGTGAAGTTGTTCGCACGCTCCTTTTCTTGTGCATAAGAAATTGTCGGGGAAATTATTAATGTTAATAACACAGGGATTTTCTTCATTTGGTTCATCTAATACTGGTAGTTTTACACCAGATTTTCTCAGGTCAATCGTCCAGTTTAACAAAGAATGATCAGGTACTGATAGAGGCGTTGAAAGCTGGAGTTCTGATATTAAGTCTGACATTGTATGTATCTGAAAGTCCTCGTATAGGGATAATTGTTCATGAGGTGCTAACACATAGTCCACGACTGACCTCCCTTTCGTGGAGATACAAGTAAATGTGTTGCTTTTTCCAATTCGGCCATTTAACATGCATATATTACAGTCCACACAAATATCAATTAATTGGTCACCAAAGCCGTTTTCGGCGCAGTCAACATTTTCTCGGTGAGGGATTTCATCCACCCCTTCTATAAAATCACTAAGATTGCCTGTTCGTGCATTAAAATCACCTCAGATGGTTATAAAACCCACTTTTTGGTATTCATAGAGCTGGCGAGTGAGCGTTGTAAAGAATAAGTGGGAGTCTGAAAGTCTAGAGCTCCCAACTGGGGGTAGGTAACATATGCACGAGCACATAACAAGATCAGACTGTTTTGCTTGAAACTTAACCCAGAGTATATCATCTACACTATCATCAAGAATACTAACGCTAAATATGGATAATAATGAACGCTTTATCAAGCATGCTACTTTCAGCGCCCCGCCTGGCTCTAATGTGGGATGATGAACGGTTTTTACTAAGACAGATAAAATTGTCAATATTAATTATTTCTTCCTTCCTCAAAAAGGTTTCACAGGAACATAAGATATCAAATTTCATTTTCTTCAATACGGTTTGTCTAAAATCAACATTTTCGTTCATATGCGGAGACCACCCGTTGACGTTCCAGAAACCTAGCCGGAGAGAATCCTAGTGGCGACTACTATTATTCCCATTACGGGGGTTATTTCCTCCGTGATTACGTCTGCTGCTTTCATTCGGATTCGCGGGTTTTTGACGATGTCCATTTTGGCTGCGGTTATTGTAGGGGGCTGGATTAGGGCGTTGGTCTGGATTTGCGGTTATTTTCTGTATCCGATTTCCCGATAATCTCAATTTATCTCTGCCAACTGCATCCACTATTGCCTTTAGATTTGAGGTCAGAATCCTTTCTTCCTTGGGCAGATCGTGGTCAAGAAAGACGTTTCTAATGTTCCTTGAATCTTTTAAGTATCTTTTATTTGTCAGAATTTTCTTTTTAGCTTCAACTGAAGGGCATGTTGCTATCACAACCCCCGGTTTATTTTCATTGAAAGGGGCTTTTCGCATTGCAGATAATATGGTCACATCTCTCAATTTCAAACCATCTCTTATTAAATCATTTACTTTATTTGTCACGTTTTCGTTTTCTCCAGTAGGTGAATACGGATGACAATGTTTTTTGATCGGTCCCGACCGCTTTTGTTCTCTTTTACAGCTTCCGCATAGGATTTTTCAAGAGAATGTATGTCTCGCTTCATGGATTCAATTTCCAGATCAAAATCGGTCCTTAATTGATTTACTTCTGTTTCTATTACTTGCTTGACGCTTCGTGTGACGTGGTCAACAATGCGGGCCTCCAATGTATTAGCGAGAGAATCAATCCTTTTATCAAAATCGTCCTTCATGTTTTTTATTTCGCTGGTTAAGGAACTGATATTATTTATTAAGGCATCAATCTGATTGCTTTCTGCCCGATTGTTTATCGTTTTCGTATGCGTTTGTATAATTTTACGGGGACGTCCTCTGCGTTTGGCGGTGGGTTCTTTCTTCTTGCTACCTGTTTTTTATCTGTGATGTCTTGACTAAAATCAGAGTTTTCGTCGAAACTCAAAGTATCTAGATCTTCCTCCGGATATTCTGAGGTTTGTGTCAAATCAATAGGTGATACTTCAGCTTGTGGGGCTTTTGCGATTATGGGGAAGCGTGTCTGTTCGCATTGTTTGCACAGCATCAAGTCTCCTTGGCAAAGTTTTACGCAATCGCCGCTTCTCCTTCCTGGGCATTCACCCTCAGATAGACCTTCGCATCTCATTGTGCTGATAATTGAGTGAACAGTTACTATGCAGGTAACGTTATTACAATGCAGGTGAGTAGATGTACACAGGTAGCTGGTGAATAGAAATCACTTCCAGCTAGGGTCAACAAAGAACAGACAAAGTTTCAAATATTTCGTCCACAATACCTACCTTGGTCATCAAAATCGCCATTTATGAACCACATAGACAATATGTGGGTGGGTAATTACTCGCCGAAACAACGGCCCACCTGCCCTACAACAAAACTGAACCAAATTGAACAAGTTTTGACCGTTGCCTGAAATTTTATTCCAGATTAAACTCTAAAAACCTATCCCATGGAATTCCTTGCCGCTTGACAGCTCTGGTAGCGGCCAGATGAGGTCAGGCGTAACAGCGACTGTTGCTGTGACTAGACACTGATATGAGGGTCCTTTGTGGGGCGTTTAACTCTTTTAAAGACGATAGTTTGGAAAATATGGAGATCTAAAATATCGTTTTCAATGGTTGTCGTATGACATAGAAAAGGCAATGTATTTTTGTTTGCTTCACTGGCGATTTCAATAAATAAACTGATGTCAAAATGACAATAAAGAGATTATTAAAAGTTATTTAAACACGACTGTAATCATTATTTTCATTTATCAGTCACCAAAACAGGAAAAAACTGATGATTTATGATTTGGAAAAAATATTCCATAGTAAATGTCAAGTCTGTCTATCTATCTATCTATCTATCTATCTATCTATATATCTATCTATCTATATATCTATATATCTATATATATATATATATATATATATATATATATATATATATATATATATGTGTGTGTGTGTGTGTGTGTGTGTGTGTGTGTGTGTGTGTAATGGTGGACTGCTGGTAGACTTTGAACAAGCAGGTAATATCTGTCGTTAGAAGACGCTTTAACAAATGGTAATTGCTTTATTACGTTGAGTTGTGTAATAATGATAAAGGAAATGTTTGAAACAAAATATCTTGTTGGGACAATATCTCATGTTGTCGTTATTCTGTATATTTCCTTGTTGAAGACTGATAATTTTTGCTCGATAACAGAGAGAATTCAAATGGAAAACTGGAGTGAATTATCTAAATTTTAAAAGTATTAGGTATATTTTACAAATTCTGTGAATATTCTCGCTTTTCTCACGATCTGATTTTCTCAATATCCAGTGGTCTATTTTCAATAAGATGACAAATAAAATATAGTAAAAATTAAGATTTCTAAAATATTAATTATGAGTAAAATAAAATAAAAGCTAAAAACAACAATAATTTAATTAAAAAATATTAAATTAGTTTAAGGTAAATGCGCAGTTCTTTGAAGATGTTGTACGAAAGATGTGAATACGTCTGGTCTATTACAAATACATCTATGCTTGTATTTATCTTTTTAGTTCGATATTAGAGAGTTAGATTTAATTAAAATAATGAAACAATGTAAATTAAATTAAGTTGAGGTTATCACTTGTATGTAAACAAATTGGAATATTACCACGACAAAAAGGGTAATGGTGACAAAATTGTTTAGGTTGAAAAATGAGAGAGCGCTTCTGATTTTAGACGTTGCTTTGACAAATGATAATGGTTTTGTTGCATAGCACCGTGTACAAATGATTGAGGAAAAGTTTGAAACCGAAAATACCTTGCTGGAACCATATTTCATGACAATTTTATTCTGTGTTTCCTTAATGAAGATTGATAGGGATTTGCTTGCACAGAAACGTATAAATAGCAGCTTGGGTTGCAAATCTCATCGTAAAGAACTGATCTCTTGCTAGGACAGCTTCAATTGGAACAATGAAAACTTGCGTTCTTCTTGTGCTCTTGGTGCTCTTTGCCGCTGTTGTCATAGAAGGTGAGAGACACAAAGTATTAATAACGACTTGAAATGAAAACTCTGAAGCAAAGAAAAGAGGTACGTCAGAACTGAGACTGTAATCTAGGCAGACGTTATCTCAGCTGGAGTGAAATTTAGTAGGTCGTAACTTGATTAAAAGAGGTCTTGATCAAAATCACACCATTGTTTATACATACATTACAGCATCCAACTAAATAAAGTGCAGTGTTCAGTAATTCAAAATTTGCAGATAGGCAGATGTGAGTGCTAACTGACAGTGGTATTTTGATTCCTTTTGAAATACAAAGTGAAACGTATAATTCTGCCTAAATTTGTATTTCCATAAATTATCTTGACACTGTCAAGATAGAAAATATCTCAATATATATGCAAAACCATTTTAGTATCGTCTATGAGGAATGTCTGTTCTTTGTATTTCACTCTCAAAAATAAGCTAAAACAGCCAAAAAGATTATTTGTCACTACCGACAAATACCGGTAAGAAATTGAATGGAATGGAGACCAGAAAATGTATTTGGAGTTCACTATAGCGTGGATAGTGCCACGCATTACCCACTCCTAAGAAAAATTTTAAATAACGCACATTTTAAGTTCCGCTATGTTGCTTTCCTTCATTAACATTTGAATTGAGAAATTATGCGTAAAATAAATGCATATGGACTTTCAGTAACACGTTTATATTTTGCATTTTTATTTTGATATTAGACACAGCCGGACAAGGTATAGCGCGTGCTACGTGCTCCTGCTGTGGCCAAATTTGTCATACCGACCATGGGACTTGCTACTGCGTCGGAAAGCCCCCAAATTGCCGCTGTGGTGCCAGCGATTACACAAAATAAATGGTGCTGTGATCACATTGTTCATGCCAGTATTTTCACTAATATATATTCAGACCAGCTTCTTGTTTAACATAAATATGTTGATAACTGTGCTTATCTGAGACTGATAAAACCTATTAGTAAATTCCACAAGTCAATTTGGTGATATTGTTGTTAGAGATTATTAGAAGGAATCAATGGCTCATTTAAACAAAGTTTACTGACTCCACAGAAAAGTTTTTTTTTTTATAACAAATTAAGTTTGCCCAAATGCATTAGTTTAAATAGAAAACCGAGATAAACGTTTCTTGATTTTTTTTTTCAAGAAAGAAAGAGAGAGAGTAGAGAAAATGAGAGTGAGCTGGGACACAGAAAGCCATGGTGTGTGTGTGTGTGTGTGTGTGTGTGTGAGAGATTATATTATCTAATGCAACCACATTATGTTCATTCAAGTAACTGAGTAGAACAAATGCATATTGAATAATATATGGTCAGTTTAATGCAACGGTTTATTATTTTACAGTTTAAAATTACATTTTTTGTTTTGTTTTCAGAATAGCCACCCGTCAAAAGTAACCATGACCAGTTGGACATACGGAAGAAAACAGGAAATTAGTCCCTCAGCTAAATGTACAGCTGCTGTATTTGGACTTTTTTTGGGAATTTTGAATTCAAAAATAAGTTGCCATAATAAAGTTTGTAGTAAATGGGCTGTATTTACTGCATCGTCAAAGCTCAGAATTTATTTTCTTTGTTGTTGTTAGAAATCGTTTGAATGCTTAGTACGTTTATTACACCGATGGGCAATGCACTTGAATTTAGAGGTCTATCATTTATTTCATTAACATGAATGAAAAAGTAACCTTACCAAGCTTTATTGAAATCAAAAGCACTAACTTAAGTTATAGTAACGATTAGTAATTTGCGCACAGGTTGGTCATATCAAAAAATAAAAATAAAATAATTACAGTTATCACATTATATATCAAGAAATAATGCTAGGTGATTACTCTTTGAAAATGACATTACAAGAAACGAAAAAAATATACTATGCAAATTATATGTACGTGCTGTCGAACACTGGTAAAACGTTTGCAGATGTTTTCTTCTGGTTTTTTTCACATTCTCTCATTAATATAAAATCATATAAGTCAAAAGCAATACAAAGATAATGCCTTTTGTTTTCCTTGGTACAGGTACATATAACTTACAGTTGGTGCATGTTTTCATGCACTTCCCAAGTGACGTTTTTGCTCCAATTCAACCACTGCACTGCTCTTGTGAGACACGTTTTCCGCGAAGTCTACAAGACCATGTCGCCACCTCTAGGCCGTACTGTCCACATCCCTTTGAACCGCCTTCACTTTATCCATTAAAAAATTGGTGCCCGTCTTCAATTTTGCCATATAAAGACATAAGAAGTCGTTCCGAATGTATTTGAGATACATCTGTGCTAAAAAGCCCGAAAGCTCCGTGGATTTGTGACTTTAAGAACAGTTTTTAAATCATAAACGTATGTATGTAGTTTGCTCTAATTTAAGGAACACCGAAAGATATACACGTTGCCCCTTTTCAACGAGGCGTTCAATCTGAGCAGAAAATCAGCACATGTGCTGTTTGTTATAATTTATATAAATAGCAATGCACAGACTTGACTTTTAATGTGGGATATTTCAAAGATAAACCTAGATGCATTATTAAATGCATTATTTTTTTTTTCCGAAAACACCCGTTCTCATATAAGATATGTGAATAGAGAGGCGCTACCAATTAATTGATTACTATGCCTGTTGCACTGCTGTATTATGTAATATCCAGTGATCTAATTGGATGGTGCTCCTTTGGGTAGGTCAAAACACCGCTTTGGCAAAGCATGGTTCTGTCAAAAAAATTATCCATATGTCGGCAACTACTATATAGAAGCTACAAGAGATTGGATTTGCAGTGCATAAAATGAGCTAAGCAGTGCTTTACAAAATTGTTGATCTGTAGCAGAATTTTGCGAAAAGGCAAACATTGGCAGACAGATTGTTGCTCCAAAAGGAACAGTCTGCACAGTTTAACAGAGTAATGTCCAGACTGGTGTACCTACACAGAGGCTACGGCCAATTTATCAAAATCTTACCAGAAGGATACAGGAACCACTGTCTTTCGGGATATGCTGCTGCAAATAAACAAATAGCACCCAGTCCGTTCATGAGGGGTAAATTGCCACCAAAACGCGTTTTTCAAGGACGATAGTGGACACTAAATTGCTTTTAACAGGTTACTGGTTTTAACAAGTTAGAATACCAGGCGACCTCCGAGGAACCCACTGTAAACAGTAAAACACCGTCGTCTGTTTCTCTAATGAATTGGAGCCCATGGCCGTTTCTGGGTAGAACACTGAAACCACGTACGAGGCTTATTTTACTGAGGTCAGATTTCACCTGAACTACTCAACTAGCCAGAAGAAGCTTACGACGAAGCTTGTGCCGCGTCTAAAGTGACAAAAGTCGTTGACAGCATCAGTATATGGAGTGGATACCATATTGGTGCCAAAACACCAATGGTAGTCATCGGCGAAAACCTGAACTAGATCAAATAAAGGAATAATCTGGGAACCACTTGACTATCATTGTCACCACTTTCCCACAACCCTCACAACCGCTCACAACTTTGTGCATGTAACAGCTATAGCGTGTCCATAAAGCAGCATCTAATAGATGCTTCCATGTGTTTCAAAACGAGTGTCTTTACACCGACCTGTATTTAATGCTACATAAACAAACCAATTAAAAATACACGATAATTACCCTTCTGCACGACGCTTGGAAACTGAATTAACACACGCAATGGCCGTTAAACCTTATTTTTTTATATTAGGAAACTAATTTTACTGGAAATATCAGAACTTTTCCATAAATCCCAGACTTTTTATCATGTTTTGTAAATAGAATCAGGCAATATAATATTTTTAAGTTGAAAACGGGTTCATAAATTATGAAGTCCCGTTGGTGATCGTTTTAAGGCATATCTGCTGAAATTACCACCGAGTTTAATCTTGAGTTTTATAATTGTTAAACATGCGCCACTTGTCTTTGACATTTAGAAACTTAATTGTTTACATACCACCCCAGATGCGGAGCACAATAATGTAACGAGGACAGATGGTTAGCACCTCTAGCGGGCGTTAATTAACTGTTTATAAACATAATAAATAGACTAATTTCCATGCAATTTGTAATTTTCTTTATCATGTACGTGGTAGATTTATTTACTAGAAAGTGACATCTTCCTCGCCAATCAACAGTAAATGTTTTAGAATAAATCTACAACAACAACAACAAAGGGTTGACTTTATTTTCGAATTTGTTCCGTGTGTATTCAAAATAGAAGAAAGCAAGTACACTTAAAAAAGAAGTGATATGTGTGTGTGTGTGTGTGTGTGTGTGTGTGTGTGTGTGTGATGGTGCACTGCTGGTAGACTTTGAACAAGCAGGTAATATCTGTCGTTAGAAGACGGTTTAACAAATGGTTATTGCTCTATTAAGTTGAGTTGTGTAATAATGTTAAAGGAAATGTTTGAAACAAAATATATTGTTGGGACAATATCTCATGTCGACGTTATTCTGTATATTTCCTTGTTGAAGACTGATAATTTTTGCTCGATAACAGAGATAATTCAAAAGGAAAACTGGAGTGAATTATCTAAATTTTGAAAGTTTTAGGCATATTTTACAAATTCTGTGAATTTTCTCGCTTTTCTCACGATCTGGTTTTCTCAATATCCAGAGGTCGATTTTCAATAAGATGAGAAATAAGATATAGTGAAAATTTAATTCCAAAATTATAAATTATGAGTAAAATAAAATGAAAGCTAAAAACAACAATAATTAAATAAAAATAATCTTAAATTAGTTTTAGGTAAATGCACAGTTCTTTGAAGATGTTGTACGAAAGATGTGAATACGTCTGGTCTATTACAAATACATCTTTGCTTGCCTTTATCTTATTAGTTCGATGTCAGAGAGTAAAATTTAATTAAAATAATGAAACTATGCATATTAAATTAAGTTGAGGTTATCACTTGTATGTAAAACAAATTGGAATATTACCACGACAAAAAGGGTAATGGTGACAAAATTGTTTAGGTTGAAAAATGAGAGAGCGCTTCTGCTTTTAGACGTTGCTTTGACAAATGATAATGGTTTTGTTGCATAACACCGTGTACAAATGATTGAGGAAAAGTTGGAAACAGAAAATACCTTCCTGGGTCCATATTTCATGACAATTTTATTCTGTGTTTCCTTAATGAAGATTGATAGGGATTTGCTTGCACTGAAACGTATAAATAGCGGCTTGGGTTGCACATCTCATCGTAGAGAACTGATCCAGTCTCCTGCTACGACAACTTCCATTGGAACGATGAAGTCGTGCGCTCTTCTTGTGCTCTTTTTGCTCTTTGTTGCTGTTGTCATAGAAGGTGAGAGACACAAAGTATTTAATTAAAAGTATTTAATAATGACTTGAAGTGTAAAATCTGAAGCGAAGAAAAGGGGTACGTCAGAACTGAGATCGTAATCTAGGCAGACGTTATCTCCGCTAGGGGGAAATTTAAATGTTACATTAGTATGTCCTAATTTGACCAAAAGAGTTCGTGATCAAAATCACACCCAATAAGATATACATAAATTACAGCATCCAACTAAATAAAGTGCAGTGTTCAGTAATTTAAATTAGCAGATAGGCAGTTGTGAGTGCTTACTGACAGTGGTATTTTGCATCCCTTTGAAACACAAAGTGAAACGTTTAATTCTGCCTTAATTTGTATTTCCATAAATTATCTTGACACTGTCAAGATAGAAAATAGCTCAATATATATGCAAAACCATTTTAGTATCTTCTATAAGGAATGTCTGTTCTTTTTTTTTCACTTTCAAAAATAAGCTAAAACAGCCAAAAAGATTATTTGTCACTACCGACAAATACCGGTAAGAAATTGAATGGAATGGAGACCAGAAAAATGTATTTGTAGTTCACAAAGGCATGGATAGTGCCACGCATTACCCACTCCTAAGCAAATTTGGAAAGAACGCAAATTTTAAGTTCCACTATGTTGCTTTCCTTCATTAACATTTGAATTGAGAAATTACGCTTAAAATAAATGCATATGGACTTTCAGTAACACTTTTATATTTTGCATTTTTTATTTTGATATTAGACACAGCCGGACAAGGTATAGCGCGTGCTACATGCACCTGCTGTGGCCAGATATGTCATACCGACAGTGGGACTTGCAGGTGCGGCGGAGTTGCACCCAACTGCTACTGTATTGCAATTGATTACACAACAAGGTAAACGGTGTTGTGATGAAATTGTTCATAGCAGTATTTTCACAAATACATTTTTAGACCAGATACTTGTTACACTTGAAAATATGTTGATTTTTAGTAACTTCAGCAAGTCAATTTGGTAATAATATTGTGAGAAATTATGAGAATGAATTAATGGCTGATAAAAGCACCACCACATATAACCTTTTTAATAACTAATACATTTTGCCCAAAGTTAGTAGTTTATAGACCAAAAAAGAACAAGATACACGGTCTTTTAAATCATTTAGAGAGAGAGAGAAATTGCGGGAGGGATGGGGAGTGCTGTATGTTATATACTCTGATACTCATATGTGGTGTTTATCTCCTTTCACTTTTGTGAATTTATCTAATGCAAACTATTGGTTTCATTAATGTGCATTCAAATAAGTATATAGAAAAAATTGGTTTCAAACTAATGTGCATTCAAATAAGTATATAGAAAAAATGAATATCGTGTTGTAAATAATCAGTTAGAGATCATCCCCAGAGGCTATCGTACTAACTTTGGATCAACCTATCAACTTAGGTGGCTTAGGTGTCTCACATGCCCACTGGAGCTGTTAGAGGGTAATTTACTATCGTTTAGCGGCTTCAGTAGGCGTGCCAGACATAAGTCGTTTAAGCTAAGCGCAATTCAGCGACAAAACCCTTGGAGATGGATCGATCCGGTTAGATTGATCTAGGCATGGGAACCCAGTCTTCAATACAATGTTCATTATATAGCGGTATACATTAAAGTTTTTTTTTGTTGTTGTTGTTGTTTTCAGAGGACCCCCTTCTCCAGCGACTCCATAACCAGTGAAAATACGGAAGAAAACAGGAAACTTCTCACTCAGCTAAATGTAAAGCTGCTGTATTATACTTTTTTTTGTGAATTTTGAGTTCAACAATAAATGGTCATAATAAAGAATGTAGTAAATACGCTGTATTTACTGCATTGTCAAAGCTCTAATTTTACTGCCTTTGTCGTTGTTGGAAATCGATTGAATGCTTAATATGTGTATTAAGCCAATGGGTCATTAGCATTAATATTAGAGGCTCTATCATTTATTTCGTAAAAATGGATGAAAAAGTAAATTCATCAAGTTCGCTTTATTAAAACGGAATGCATATATATTACCCTCAGATGTAGTTATGGTGGGGCAATTTTGTGCACAGGTTAGTCATATCAAAATTTTTGGGGCCATTGTTTTGATATTTATTAAAAATGTATTTATGTATCATTAAAACAATGGCTACTGGCTCCGCAGAAAAAAAAATAAAAACATTTTTTTTTCATAACAATTACCGTTTGCCGAAAGGCATAAGTTTAATGACCAAAGCTAAAAAGAGTGAGCCATGGTGTGCATGCGTGCGTGTGTTCGAGTGATAAATAAATAATTAGCCTACGATACACTTACTTAATGAAATTATAATCGCCAATATTTGCTAGGACCAAAAGATGTGAAGTATTTTCGATGACATTTTTTTAAACAATTTGTGTTACTGAAATAAGGGAGATATCTTGCTTATATAAGTGACATAAGATATCACCCGGAATTCTGACAAAACTATAATGATAATATTAAAAAATATGAAGCATATTTATCATATTTAGTAGTCTGATTCTTCATATATACGTGCATATTTATTTTTATCTGTGTTCTTGCTTCTGCATTAAATTTGATAAACTGATTCACATACCAACAGACTGGTTTATCATCGTCGTAAAATACGCAGGGGCTTCCATTGTTACATTGTAGAAGAGGGGGATCCAGAGATATTTTCTGAAAGTCTTCTAAATTATTTTTGTTGGTCCATCCTACATTTTTGACCGTCTACTGACAGAAAAATAGATACCCGTCAATCTAAACTTGAAAATCTGACCTTTTTTCCGAAAGACCAAGAAGACTGACTAAATCCGCCCCTGTTTTAAGTATTAGCTTCCCCCTAACCAAGGATTTCTCTTCTAACTACATATGATATTAAGAAATAATATTATAAGATAATTTGATGCAAATGACACTTGAAGAAACGGACTATTTAATGGTCTCTCCGCCTCTCATACGGCTCCCCACGCGTCGTCCCTCGACCGGTTGAATTGAGAAGAGATTTAATTAGTGTGCCCCTGCAGAGACGACGCACGCGGAGGCATGTGAGAGGCGGAAAGACAATTAAAGGATTACGCGGTTTTTCTTTCATGTAGGTCCGACATATTTAGGTCTAGTCCTTGCTAGACCTCGGCTCTTCTCGATGTAAATGCTCTCTATTTGACCCAAATCCTGTAAAATTCAGTTTAGAATTCAGGTCTACCTTAAAAAAGAAATCATTGTTCTGAACTATTAGCAATGTCATTTTGTGACAACAACGATGCAAGCATTCATAAAATGGAAGTCTATTTATATACCAGACAAAATGTTCCGTTAATTAATGAATAAAGAAATATTAAAAAAGGGAAAAGCACTCTAAAAATGCAAACCTCACATCTTCCCCCATAATTGGACTCAGTTGCCATGAGTCATGTTAAATATGACATCTAGAATAAAATCGCTGGTGAAAATGGTGAAAATGGTGAACAGATGTGAGATCATCATTTGTAAACAAACACATGGGATTTAGGGTGATTAAATTTGTACACACACAATACAAAATGTTTTGCATTATTTCATTTTTATTGGCATTTTGTCATACACCTACCGAAAATCGAGGACGGTAGCACTGCATGGAGCGTTATGATTCCTTCAACACGTGCTGCTGTTATAAGCAGTTGGAATGATTTGTGCTCCACTCTGCGTATTAAAAGTTTGCCTCAATTTCACTGCCACGGTATTTGGCCGCCTCCTGTTTTTGGCGATGCCTACAAGAGCGTGTTGCAACCACTAGGCCGTATTGCCCACGACTCTTATAACCGTTTACACCTTTGTGCATGTTACAGCTATAACATGCCCATAAAGCACGATCTAAAAGGATATTTCTGCGAGACGTTTCCAGTTGTTTCAAAATAAGTGTCTTTACAACACGATGCATGTAATGCTATTTAAGCACATAATGCTTAAAGAGACAATTTGCCTTTTGCACGACGTTTCGTATCTGATTTAGGTAGCAAAATAAACGTTAAACCTTAGTCTATACATAAGAACAATATTTACTGTAAATTTCGAATTTTTATTTTATTTTGTAAATGAAAAAAATACTGTAAATTTCAAACCTTGTCTATAAATTCCAAATTTATTTATATTTTGTAATTGGAATGTGGAAATATGAATATTTTATAAGTTGAAAACGTGTTCACAAATTGTGACGTTGTCACGTTGGCGATCGATTCAAGGCATATCTCCTGACAATTCCAAGGAAAGTGAACTTAGGCTTTATAATGGTCTAACGAATTACTTTTCTTTGAAATTTTGAAACTAAATTGCCTATATTTCATCTCGGATGCGGAGCACAATACTGTAATGAGGACAGATAGCATCTCTATAGCAGGCGTTAATTAACTGTCTGTAAACAAAAAAAATACTAATTTCGATTGAATTTGCAATTTACTACAACGAAAAAAACGGGTCGACTTTTTATTTTCAAAATTGTCCCGTGTCTATTAAAAAATAAAGGAAGCATGTACACTTGTAGAAAAAAAAAACAAGTGCAAAAATAAATGTGCTGGTAGATTGCATTAAAAAGGAAGGGCTTTGAAGAAACTAGTGATACTTGTCACTAAAAGACGCTTTAACAAATGGTTATTGTTTTATTACGTTGAGTTGTCTAATAATGATTAAGGAAATGTTTGAAAAGAAAATACCTTGCTAGGACCATATCTCATGTCGACGTTATTCTGTATGTTTCCTTGTTGAAGACTGATATTTTTTGCTTGGTAACAGAGAAAAACAAATGGAAAACTGGGGTGAATTTTCTTCATTTTGAAAGTTTAAGACATATTTTGGAAAAGCTGTGAATTTTCTCGCTTGCGATTTAAAGATAATACATTGCGGCACGATATGGTTTTCACAATTACCAGGGGTCGATATTCGATAAGATAAGATATAAAATATAATAAAAAATTAAAATTCCAAAATTGTAAGTTATGAGTAAAACCAAATAAAGGCTAACAACATTAATAATTAAATTAACAAACTATTTATTAAGTTTAAGGTTAATGCACAGCTCTTTATAGATGTACGAAAGATTTGAATACGACTGGTTTAATGCAAATGCATCTTTGCGTGCTTTTATCTTATGCGTACCAGTTCGATATTAAAAAGTTCTAACCCGCATGAAATTGTAGTAGTATCGAAGTAGCAAAAAAGCATTAACACAGTAGTGGTGTGGAGCATATTTGCAGTAGAAATGCAGCATAGCCTACTGCAATTCTACTCCAAAAAGTACATAGGTTTGTACAGAGAGGAGCATTAATGCAGTAGATTAGCAGCATGATAGAAGCATGTTTCAAATATGCTAATTAGCTCCCAAATCGAAGCAGATTTGAAGCATGTTTGCAGTATGATTGCAGTAGTCTACTGCGGTTTGCAGTATGGTTGCAGTCGTCTACTGCGCTGGAGTATCTACTGCATTTTCTTGCGGTAGATTCCCATTTTTTTAATGCAAATTTAAATAACGAAATAATGAAAATTAATTTAAGTTGTGGATATCACTTGCATGTAATAAGATTGGATTTCTACCACGATAAAAAGGGTAATGGTGGCAAAAGTATTTAGTTTAGGAACTAAAAGATGTAGAAAAAAGAGAGAGAGAGAGTGCTTCTGCTTTTAGACGTCGCTTTGACAAATGATAATGATTTTCTTGAGTAACACCGTGTATAAATGATTAAGGAAAAGTTATATATTTTTCGTTTTTTTTTATTTTGATATAGACACAGCCGGGCAAATTGCATTGCGTGCTTCATGCACCTGCTGTGGTCACAGGCGTAGCAGCGACCATGGGAGTTGCAGGTGCGGCGGAGTTGCACCCAACTGCTACTGTATTGCAATTGATCACACAACAAGGTAAAAAAGGTGTTGTGATGAGATTGTTCATAGCAGTATTTTCACAAATACATTTTTAGACCAGATACTTGTTACACATAAAAAAAATGTTGATTTTTGTCCGAACCTTAGACTGCTAGCCGATTTGCAAATTCTGGAAGTCATTTTTTTATATCGTTGTGAGAAATCATGGGAGTGAATTAACAGATTATAAAAAACGCCACCACATAAAACTTTTTTTAAAAACAAATACAGCTTGCCCAAAGTTAATTTTAGATACGAGATGAACGGTTTTGTAAATTTTTTGAGAGAGTGGAAGAGAGAGGGAGAAAGAGAGTCGGGGTAGGGAGGGCGGGCGGTTGAAGGAGAATTAGAACCAGGTTGTACGTGTGTATGTTATATTATACTCTGATTGTAATATGTGGCGTTTATTTCCATTCACTTTTGTGATATAATCTAATGAAAGCTACACAATGTGCAATCAAATAAGTACATAAAAAATGGATATCGTTTTGAAAATGGCCAGCCTAATGCAATGGTTCATTGCTTAACAGTATATAATAATATGTTTTGTTTGCAGAGGACCCCTTTCTCGAGGGTAAGCAGGACCAGTTGAACATACGGAAGAAAACAGGAAACTATTCTATTAGCTAAATAAAAAGCTGCTGTATTTGGACTTTTTTTAGTGAATTTTGAGTTCAACAATAAGTGGTCATAATAAAGATTGTAGTAAATATGCGGAATTACTACTTTATCAAAGCTCCAATTTTACCACTTTTGTCGTTGTTGGAAATCGTTTGAATGATAATACGTATATTAAACCAATGGACAATGCACTAAAATTTAGAGGCCCTAGTTTTATTTCATAAACATAATTGAAAAAAGAAAATATATCAATTTCGCTGTGTAAGAATCAAATGCATTTACTTCAGTTATAGTTAAGGTGGTTCAATTTTGTGGGCATGTTAGTCTTATCAAAAATGAATCAATACATGGCCTGCGATAAACTTCCATTATGAAATTCTAGTTGCCAATATTCACTAGGACAGAAGGATGTTAATTATTTTTGATCAAAATCCGTTAACAACTTGTAATACTTAAATTTATGATAAATCTTGCTAAACAGAACACTCGCCAAGGCATTTCGAGTACCAAAATTTTCCAAAATGCAGATATTTAATTCAATATAGAATTTTTTATCATTTGTTAAATTGTTGGCATATAAATACTGACTACAGTAATATTCCTTGCATTCTTATCTTCTTCTTTAATGTGATATCCAAACAAATTAAACTCTATTAACCCAAGTGTCTCGTGATTGAAGACCAAAAGGTAAAAGGGAAAATAATTTTGTCAAAAACATTTCATTTTTTTAAATAAATTCAGCTCAATTTACTTAGGGAAATTCTACTTTGTTGCAATAACACACCGAAAATATGATAGGTTGCAAGGTTTTGGGCTATAGCCATCCGGGCATTTGCAGTAGTCGTCAATCAAGGTAGTCTAGCACGTGCCACACTTTTACGGTATTCATTGGACAGCCACGTCATGCACTGTTTTCGAGCGAAACCACTTCTACAGCTGCGGCAGAAATTAAAAAAAAGTATGATAAACAGTTTTTATATATGTGCTATTAGTAATAACCTGGAATTCTGACAAAAATAGAAAGACGCTATTAAAATAATGAAGCGGCGAGCATATATAGTACTCTGATTCTTTATATATACATGCATAATTATTTTATCTGTGTTCTAGTTTCTGCATTATAAAAAAAATGACTATCATACCTACAGACTGGTTTATCATCGTCGTAAAGGACAAAGGTGCCCTTATTAGTACATTGTAGGCACCCCCCCAACCATGGATATCTCTTCTTACATATTGCTTCTTATTCAAAATGAAAGATGAAATGTTATATGTTAAAATAAAATGAACAAACAAACAAATAGATAAATATATAAATGACAAGTAATATCAAAAAATAACATTAAAATATTATTTGATGCAAATGACAATTGAAGAAACGGAAAAAAAATACACTAGTACATAGATACATGCTGTCAAACACTGACAAAGAGTTTGTCAACGTGTCAGCACATTTTGCAGTGTTTTTCCCTGTTTTTTTTTTCACATTCTCACACTAATTTGAAGCCTTATCATTTAAAAGCAGTACATTTATAACGCCTGCTGTTTTCGTCGGTACCTGTGCACGAAACTTACAACTGGCACATGTTTTAATGCACTTCCCAAGTGACGTATCTGCTTCGATTCCACCACCGCCCCGCTCTTCTGAGGCACGTTTTCCGCGAAGCATGCAAGACCGTGTCGCCACCTCTAGGCCGAGGCCGTACGACCCTCAGAACAGTTGACACCTTTGCAATACCTGTGAGGTGTACAAGAGCTCCAGGCGGCTTACATCTTGTGAGGCTTTAGCATGTGTTTCGTAATAAAAGTACACCTTTATTTAGTAATCGTGATTTTGTATTTTTAACTCTGAAATCTTGTAAAGGATGTATTATCTGAACATGCTGCCATCAAAGTCTGTCTCAAATAATAATAATAATAATAATAATAATAATAATAATAATAATAATAATAATAGTTAACCGGAATGACTGGTTACATATGGTCTAAGACGGAAGTAATTATAATGTGAAGACGACATGTGTATGGCATCAAAGAAAATAACTCAATACTTTTTTTATTTGATGCACTGTTTTATGGGACCATATTTCACTGTAATTTATAGTATATGTTTCAACGCTGACTATTATTCAAAAGAAAAATAAACAAACTGTTATAATCCGATTATTAAAAGAGGTAAAAAAAACAATAGTTACATGTCTGAGTATGTATACAATTGGTGACGTCTGGAGTTCAAAATGAAACCCCCAGTGAATTATTTATATTTTGAAAGTAATTAGCACATATTACCAGTCAGAAAATTAGCGATTTGCCAAATGCATGCCTTTTATAGCAGTGTTTGATGTGTGTCAAATACAGCGTCGTGTATTTTTACTCAATATTCAGAGAATCTTCTACAGCTTCCTTTTACACTTAATTGACACCCTACTCGGCATCACTAGGCTAGGGACCTGTCCAGAACTTTCAATCAAAATGGCGGCATGCTTACAAATGTAACGCGTGATCGGAAAATGTTACAAAAACACTATTTTCTGACATTTCAAAGCACCCAAACAAAATATTTCTAGATTACAATTAGCAATGGTTCCATTTGATCGTATGACAGGTAAATTTCTCAGCTAAGCATTCGACTAATAAGCTCTGTTAAGCAACCTGTGGGCGTTTTTGGCTGTTTTAACAACTTTTTAGATTGACGACATAAGTGAATCGGTTTCAAACTAAAGCTCTGTTCACAACTAAGTTGATCCGTGTGTTATCTTAGCTTGGGATCAAAAATGGCGCGACCCACAAGAAAACTTGTTGCCAAAATGCCTTTGCTGGGCCAGATACTGGAGTGGGTGACCCATGTTCCTTCTCCAGATTATTTAACCCATCCGCCCTTTGACAGGTTTTGCTTTTAGTCCTGCTGAGTGTTCACGCACCCTCCTCGCTGGACAAGCCCAGTGGGGGGAGATGGTTTAGCCGCCGACAACCCGACCATGGAACAGGCATTGCTGGTTTACATGTTACCACTTGCTTAGCATTTCTAGCAGGCGTTAATTAACTGTTTTAAACCAAACAAATTGACTAATTTCCATTGAATTTGCTATTTTGTTTATCATGTACGTGGTAAATTCATTAGCCAGAAGTTAGAATCCTCCTCACCAATCAACAGCAGATGTTTAAAAATGAACTGTAGTAAAATTATCATTGTGTGTAAGTGACGGTTTTATTACAACGAAGAAAAAGGGTCATTTTTATTTTTGATATTATTCCGTGTCTATTAAAGATAGAAGGAAGCATGTACACAAGTAGAAAAAAGAAATGCAGACATAAATGTGCTCGAGGAATGCATTAAACAGGAAGGACTTTGAACAAGCAGGTGATACTTGTGATTACAACAAATGGTAATTGCTTTATTACGTTAAGTTGTGTAAAAATGATTAAGGAAATGTTTGGTATAGAAAATACCTTGTAAGGACCATATCTCATTTCGACGGAATGTGTCCTTGTTGAAGACTGATAATATTTGCCTGGTAACAGAGAGAATTCAAAAGGAAAACTGGAGTGAGTCATCTTAATTTTGAAAGTTTTAGGCATATTTTAGAAATCTTGCGAATATTATCGCATGTGTTCTAAAGACAATGCATGACGGCACGAACTGATTTTCTCAATATACAGGGTTCTATTTTCAGTAATATAAGAAATAAAATATAGTAAAAGTTAAAATTCCAAATTTGTAACTTATCGGTAAAATAAAATGAAAGTTAAAAACAATAATAAGTAAATATCTTTATTTAGTTTAAGGTAAATGCACAGCTTTTTCTAGATGATGTACGAAAAATTTGAATGCGACTGGTCTATTGCAAATGGGTCTTTGCGTGTTTTTATCTTATGCGTACCAGTTCGATATTAGTGAGTTAGATTCCCTTTTTAGAATGTACATTTTAATAATGAAACAATGCAAATTAAATTAAGTTTTGGTTATCACTTGTATGTAATTAAATTGGATTTTTTACAAAATGGGAAATGGTTGTAGAAATGTTTAGGTTAGGAAATAAAAGAAGGAGAAAAAGAAAAAAAATGAGAGAACGCTTCTGCTTTTAGACGTCGCTTTGACAAATGATAATGATTTTGTTGCATAACACCGTGTACAAATGATTAAGGAAAAGTTGGAAACAGGAAAAACCTTCCTGGGACCATATTTCATGACAATTTTATTCTGTATTTCCTTAATGAAAATTGATAGGGATTTGCTTGCACTGAAACGTATAAATAGCGACTTGGGTTGCAAATCTCATCGTAGAGAACTGATCCAGTCTCCTGCTACGACAACTTCCTTTGGAACAATGAAGTCTTGCGCTCTTCTTGTGCTCTTGGTGCTCTTTGTTGCTGTTGTCATAGAAGGTGAGAGACACAAAGTATTTAATTAAAATTATTTAATAATGACTTTAAGTGTAAAATCTGAAGCGAAGAAAAGGGGTACGTCAGAACTGAAATCGTAATCTAGGCAGACGTTATCTCCGCTAGGGGGAAATTTAATCTTAAATGTTACATTAGTATGTCGTAATTTGACCACAAGAGGTCGTGATCAAAATCACACCCAATAAGAATGTAAAATTGTTGATACATAAATTACAGCATCCAACTAAATAAAGTGCAATGTTCAGTAATTCAATATTAGCAGATAGGCAGTTGTGAGTGCTTACTGACAGTGGTATTTTGCTTCCTTTTGAAACACAAAGTGAAACGTATAATTCTGCCTTAATTTGTATTTCCATTAATTATCTTGACACTGTCAAGATAGAAAATATCTCAATATATATGTAAAACCATTTTAGTATCTTCTATGAGGAATGTCTGCTCTTTGTATTTCACTCCTAAAGATAAGCTAAAACAGCCAAATAGATTATTTGTCACTACCGACAAATACCGCTAAAAATTGAATGCAATGGAGACCAGAAAAATGTATTTGGAGTTCACAAAGGCATGGATAGTGCCACGCATTACCCACTCCTAAGCAAATTTGGAAAGAACGCAAATTTTCCTTCATTAACATTTGAATTGAGAAATTACGCGTAAAATAAATGCATATGGACTTTCAGTAACACGTTTATATTTTGCATTTTTTATTTTGATATTAGACACAGCCGGACAAGGTATAGCGCGTGCTACATGCACCTGCTGTGGTCATATTTGTCATACCGACAGTGGAATTTGCAGGTGCGGCGGAGTTGCACCCAACTGCTACTGTATTGCAATTGATCATACAACAAGGTAAACGGTGTTGTGATGACATTGTTCATAGCAGTATTTTCACAAATACATTTTTAGAAGAGATACTTGTTACACGTAAAAAAAATGTTGATTATTGTCCGAACCTTAGACTGCTAAGCCGATTTGTAAATTTTGCAAGTCAATTTCTATGATATTGTTGTGAGAAATCATGAGATTGAATAAAGAGATTATAAAAAGCACCACAGTATAAAACGTTTAATAACAAATACAGTTTGCCCAAATTTAATAGTTAAGATACGAGATGAACGGTTTTGTAAAGTTTTAGAGAGAGAAGGAGAGAGAAGGAGAGAGAGGGAGAAAGAGAGGTCGGGGTAGGGAGGGGGAGGTTGAAGGAAAATTAGAACCAGTTTGTATGTGTGCATGTCATATTTCCATTCACGTTTGTGATATAATCTAATGAAAGTTATATAATGTGCAATCAAATAAGTAAATAAAAAAATGGATATCTTTTTGTAAATGGTCAGTTAAATGCAATGGTTTATTGTTTAACATATATATTTTTTGTTTGCAGAAGACCCCCTCCTCGAGGGTAAACATGACCAGTTGAATATAAAGAAGAAAACAGGAAACTAATCATTCAGCTAAATGTAAAGCTGCTGTATTTGGACATTTTTTTGTGAATTTTGAGTTGAACAATAAGTGGTCATAATAAAGATTGTAGTAAATATGCTGTATTTACTACTTTATCAAAGCTCCAATTTTACCACTTTTGTCGTTGTTGGAAATCGTTTGAATGATAATACGTATATTAAACCAATGGACAATGCACTAAAATTTAGAGGCCCTAGTTTTATTTCATAAACATAATTGAAAAAAGTAAATATGTCATTTTTGCTGTGTAAGAATCAAATGCATTTACTTCAGTTATAGTTAAGGTGGTTCAATTTTGTGGGCATGTTAGTCTTATCAAAAATGAATCAATACATGGCCTGCGATAAACTTCCATTATGAAATTCTAGTTGCCAATATTCACTAGGACAGAAGGATGTTAATTATTTTCGATCAAAATCCGTTAACAACTTGTAATACTTAAATTAATGATAAATCTTGCTAAACAGAAAACTCGCCAAAGCATTTCGAGTACCAAAATTTTCCAAAATGCAGATATTTAATTTAATACAGAATTTTTTATCATTTGTTAAATTGTTGGCATATAAATACTGACTACAGTAATATTCCTTGCATTCTTATCTTCTTCTTTAATGTGATGTCCAAACAAATTAAACTCTATTAACCCAAGTGTCTCGTGATTGAAGACCAAAAGGTAAAAGGGAAAATAATTTTGTCAAAAACATTTCATTTTTTTTTTAGAAATTCAACTCAATTTACTTAGGAAAATTCTACTTTGTTGCAATAACACACCGAAAATATGACAGGTTGCAAGGTTTTGGGCTATAGCCATCCGGGGATTTGCAGTAGTCGTCAAACAAGGTAGTCTAGCACGTGCCACACTTTTTACGGTATTCATTGGACAGCCGCGTCATGCACTGTTTTTCAGCGAAACCACTTCTACAGCTGCGGCAGAAATTTAAAAAAAAAGTATGATAAACAGTTTTTATATATGTGCTTTTAGTAATAACCTGGAGTTCTGACAAAAATAGAACGACGCTATTAAAATAATGAAGCGGCGAGCATATATAGAACTCTGATTCTTTATATATACATGCATAATTATTTTATCTGTGTTCTAGTTTCTGCATTATAAAAAAAAAATGACTATCATACCTACAGACTGGTTTATCATCGTCGTAAAGGACAAAGGTGCCTCTATTAGTACATTGTAGNCATTCTCACACTAATTTGAAGCCTTACATTTATAACGCCTGCTGTTTTCGTCGGTACCTGTGCACGAAACTTACAACTGGCACATGTTTTAATGCACTTCCCAAGTGACGTTTTTGCTTCGATTCCACCACTGCCCCACTCTTCTGAGGCATGTTTTCCGCGAAGCATGCAAGACCGTGTCGCCACCTCTAGGCCGAGGCCGTACTACCCTCAGAACAGTTGACACCTTTGCAATACCTGTGAGGTGTACAAGAGCTCCAGGCGGCTTACATCTTGTGAGGCTTTAGCATGTGTTGCGTAATAAAAGTACACCTTTATTGAGTAATTTTTAACTCTGAAATCTTGTAAAAGATGTATTATCTGAACATGCTGCCATCAAAGTCTGTCTCAAATAATAATAATAATAATAATAATAATAATAATAATAATAATAATAATAATAATAATAGTACACCGGAATGACTGGTTACATATAGTCTAAGACGGAAGTAATAATGTGAAGACGACATTTGTATTGCGTCAAAGAAAATAACTCAATACCTTTTTTATTTGATGCACTGTTTTATGGAATCACAAAGAGCATTACGCTGGGACCATATTTCACTGTAATATATAGAATATGTTTCAACGCTGATTATTATTCAAAAGAAAATTAAACAATCTGTTTTAATCCGATTATTAGGAGAGGTAAAAAAAAAAAAAAAAAAAAAAAAAACAATAGTTACATATCTGAGTATGTATACAATTGGCGTCTGGAGTTCAAAATGAAACCCCCAGTGAATTATTTATATTTTGAAAGTAATAAGCACATATTACCAGTCAGAAAATTAGCGATTTGCCAAATGCATGCCTTTTATAGCAGTGTTTGATGTGTGTCAAATACAGCGTCGTGTAATTTTTACTCAATATTCAGAGAATCTTCTACCGCTTCCTTTTACACTTCCTTGACACCCTACTCGGCATCACTAGGCTAGGGACCTGTCCAGAACTTTGAATCAAAATGGTGGCATGCTTACAAATGTAACGCGTGATCGGAAAATGTTACAAAAACACTATTTTCTGACATTTCAAAGTACCCAAACAAAATATTTCTAGATAACAATTAGCAGTGGTTCCATTTGATCGTATAACAGCAGGTAAATTTCTCAGCTAAGCATTCGACTTATAAGCTCTGTTAAGCAACCTGTGAGCGTTTTTGGCTGTTTTAACAGCTTTCTAGATTGACGACATAAGTGAATCGGTTTCAAACTAAAGCTCTGTTCACAACTAAGTTGATCCGTGTGTTATCTTAGCTTGGGATCAAAAATGGCGCGACCCACAAGAAAACTTGTTGCCAAAATGCCTTTGCTGGGCCAGATACTGGAGTGGGTGATCTATGTTCCTTCTCCAGATTATTTAACCCATCCGCCCTTTGACAGGTTTTGCTTTTAGTCCTGCTGAGTGTTCACGCACCCTCCTCGCTGGACAAGCCCAGTGGGGGGGAGATGGTTTAGCCGCCGACAACCCGACCATGGAACAGGCATTACTGGTTTACATGTTACCACTTGCTTAGCATTTTTAGCAGGCGTTAATTAACTGTTTTAAACCAAACAAATTGACTAATTTCCATTGAATTTGCTATTTTGTTTATCATGTACGTGGTAAATTCATTAGCCAGAAGATAGAATCCTCCTCACCAATCAACAGCAGATGTTTAAAAATGAACTGTAGTAAAATTATCATTGTGTGTAAGTGACAG